TTTATCGATTCGATTCATTAGCATTTAGCCTACAATTAATTGAACTGTTGTATAATACATGTATTCTTTGTGACGATGTAAACATTTTGGAATTAAATGTAAACTATTCTTTCCGTTCTATCAATGTTTTGGTTTGATTGGTTGTTAGCGCTTTTAGTTTACTAGCTTTCTTATACGCCTTTAAGTTATTGCATGCTACTATGTGAAAAGAATTGTTACTTTTTTAGTTTTTTGACTTCAGTACAGGACATAAAGTTATCCTATCTCCTATGCTCCAATACGAAGGGTAACAATAGTAAGTAAGTAAGTAAGTATCTCTATCATCGTGTGGATTACTAACTTTGGAATGTTGTTGTGTGACAGACGTTCGGTCTATTTAAGTTTCTATAGATTGTATTGTATCTTAAGAAACCTTGTTAATGTATAACACTTCCGCAATGGAATTCAAACCAGCGCTTTGTCTGGTTTAGAATATTATCCATGAGTTCATTACATTTTCCGCCTACATACTATATAGATTTTGTTAGTGTAGAATTGTTGGTCTCAAGAACTACTTTTCCCAGACTTAACGGCATTAATTCTGTCAAGTTTTAATGCTCTCATGTTCATTATCTTAATTAACAATATGTTCTCTTTCTCTTCAATATTAACCGACTATTTGAAATGCAACTGTTAATTTTCGGGTAGTCACTAAAATGTCCATTCAAACACACACTTAAAGCTAAAAATCCATACTAGTTAACACTTTCTACCATTACTAGTCGTTGCTAAATCTTATTCTGTGTACATTTTGTCTTATGATATCTACATTGTAAATTAGCGAGTAATTGTATGCATTCATTTTTCTCTTAGTTCTTACAGTTACTCTATTTCAGAATATTATTGCTAAACTATTAGTATCTCTTATAATTTTAAGCGCTGTATCACATAATGGTCCATTTTCTTAAATCACGAACTGATCATAGTTAGACCAACATTGAAAACTTGGAAGCACTAAATGTCCGTTTCGTCGTCCTAGTATGGGTCGTCTCAGTAGCACACATCCGCGGTGGAATTCAATAATTTACCCACCATTTATTCGGTAATTTATTGTGAACATGCAAATTAACTATCTACGCACTTCCCATTTTTGCTTAAAATTCTATAACATTTTAATTTCAGTACATTTATTTCTCTCACATGTATTGACCTACTTTGAAAGGCAAAATAATTGATTACCTTCTCATGCTATTTGTTATACGCTTATGGTTATACTATTAATTATCTTTTACTTCTAATTTATTATAACAACAGAAGATACCGATTACGTCATTGAGCAAAATAAAAACAGTCCAGTGAAGAAAATATTTTGTTCAATGATATCTTTTACTAAAGCTACATAGTAATGATGATTTTAAAAAACGTAATTGTCAGTTGTTCTGTTGTTGAACATCCAGTTAATAACAATCGTTCATGTCCATCAGAGTATTCACTCAAAACTGCTCATAACGGAGGATTTTACAGTCTATCAATTTAAGTTTGATCTTTTTGTTCAGAAGTGATGCATTCAATCTCTTCTGTAACCGTGGTCCTAACAATCTCTTAAATTGCTTTTGATATGTGTTCATCTTTTTTATATCTTTTTGTTCCTTATGTAAGTAGTCTTCATATCCTCTCCCTTTAACTGTTACTCAACTCTTAGGCCTTTCACAGGTTGAAATCATGAGTTGATTGAAGCTAGACCAACATGGAAAACCTGGAAGCACTGGACGGCCGTTTCGTCCTAGTATGGGACTCCTCAGCAGTGCGCATCCACGATCCTGTACCACGCGGGGCTCGAACCCAGGACCTACTGGCTTCGCGCGTGAGCACTTAACCACTAGACCACTGAGCCGGCATCCAACGGTGTTAATGCCTAACTTCAACCACTCCGCGAAGTTGCGCCACCGTACACCATTGTCTTCAGTGAGTTGTTATCTCACAACAGACCTGGTTGAACTCCACTGGTAACGGCTTCTCACTAGAACTCCAGAAGTTTTTCCCGAAGTCAGTCACTAGTGAGGATCGTGGATGCGTACTGCTGAGGAGTCTCATGCTAGGACGAAACGGCCGTCCAGTGCTTCCAGGCTTTCCATGTTGGTCTAGCTTCAATCGACTCATGATTTCAACCCGTGAAATTTCTAAAACTCTCCACAAAACCCATTTTTGGGCCTTTTTAAAACTAATTTTGGGTATCTTTGTTACTAACCGAGCACATCTCTACCATATATCAAAACAACTATAAACATGATTGTACAGGTTTATTAAATTACATTATCTAAAACAGAATTCATTATAACTTGTTGTGTAATTGATATGATATAATTGTTATTGTTTTACAATTTACATTGATTAGTTGTATCTTTTTCACGTATGTATATAAATATCAGTTAGTGTATAATATACTGTAAACATTTTTGATAAGGATTTAATTAGAAAATAACATTGAACTCTATAACATTTTTGGAATCCACGCATCAACCTATTCTCTTCAGATGATTATTTATGATATATTCAATTGAAATTCTATAAATTAAAGCGCCTACAAAATAATGATACAACATTTATGTTATAAAACACTAAACCAATCAAGCATAATGTGAATATTCGGAATACCCATTTTATTGCGAAAAACTCTCTAGTACACTAGAGTTTATCAACTGTCTTCGAAATTCTGATTACAGAAAGACTTAGACTATCGAGCGGGAGATTTTTGTTTTTTGGATGAAGTTTCATTCTTGAAATCAGTTGGTTTAATCATCGACCTTTCAAATACCCGATTTCTACCTGAAGTTTGTTTTGATGATATTGTGCGGAAGAACAATGATACCATCATGACTAAACAATTCAACTCAGAGAATGAAACTTTACTGAAAACATTATTGCCATTAATGTGGTTTGGAATCTAAATAACATTCACTACATTTATTTGTTCAAACGTTGCACATACAGCAGTCAGAATTTCACCAGTACCATGAAATAGCATTTTGTAAATCTGGTGATGAATGTTTTTGTAATAAATGAAGGTTTTCGGGACTTCAGTCTATTTATTCCAATTGACTTTCTGTTGCAATATCACACTTCATAGTGGTAATTAGATAAAATTGTATTCTTTTAATCGACTAAATTGAATTCAACATTGAAGAATGAACAGGACACTACATGGATTTTTTTATCGTAAAATGATTTGTTCTGTTTAGTTATTACGGTCAGTTTTAACTTCAGCTTGTTCGCTGAATCAATAAATCACATGGTGCTAATTGAATGTGGAAGATGAAATGACATATTCTTTCTTCTTCTATAATATAATCAAGTGGGTACGTATTACCATCAAAACCAATTCGTTCTGAGAAAGTGAAAAAATCAACAATAAGCACGACTACTACCCCAGCTCACTTCAGTAAACTCTAGATATATTTAAAGAGTACAGTTGACCTTCGACTGCAAAGAATTGTTGTGTAACAAAAAATACAACTCTATCTAATTTTTCAACGAATCCATCACTAAAATAACAAGTTGTATTCAATAGTTATTACTAATTATCCTATCTATAAGATAAATCATTTGAAAAGATTATCCAGATGACATAGCAGAGGCTATACCAATCAATATGCAATGTTGATTCTTAATATAACCATTCATTATAATAAGAACTACAAGTGAAAATCTGTTAGTCTAACAGTATAACTAACTACACACAATAGATCAAAAGTACAAATTGATAATCATACGACAGGTGTACTAGTAGTAGTGATAAATATAATGGGATAACAAAAGTTCTGACCAATGTTACATATCTTAATGGAGATCAGTCCCTTCTCCTATATATAGTGTAAGCTACAAGAAACCGAACCTATAACCTTAGTTTTTGTATTCAAACGAAATTTACGACAACCCTGTCCTCCCCTTGCCCATATGTGGCTTACTGGATAGTTTTATTGTGTGTTTTTTTTTAACGCTTTTACTTGCTTATCACATTTCGTTTATATTCTTGACTTCTCATCACGTAATTTTAATAATGGGTTGTGATCATTTAAATTTACTTATTTAAGTTAGACCTACTACTTTCAATGTTGAAATACTGACTGACTAGAACTTTTACTATTTTGTCATACTCATTGGCTACTAATAGTACACCTGTATTATTATTATCATCAATTTGTACCTTTGATCTATTGTGTGTAGTTATACAATCTATATGATTGTGATCATTCACTGATAAATTACCTTGATTGCTTTAATATTTTCATCTATCCATATAAATATTCATGTGTATTCTAAACTGAAACTTGATGACGATCTGATTGAAAACACCATTCGTTCATTTATATGTCGGTTATTCTTATTTTCATAATAGGAGTCATTAATACTTTGGTTATTGCATATTATTATAATAATTTAATTTGCAACAATTCAACAGCTACTTCTATTTGACTATTTTTTTCAATTATTCAGCATTATTTACACTTTTGTGTTCTTCATCATATCATTCTCCTCTCTTTTTTTTTACGAACATGAACTGTTTCATTATAAGCGGAAATGATGGTGGCTAGCAGTGGAATCCAGAACGTGCTTTTCATCCTATTCGTGACTTGTCAGTTGGATGTACCAGCATTCCAGAGTTGATGTTCATTCCGGGACTTGAACCCCGGTACGGTTTGCTTCAAACGCCATCATCACATTGTCCACTTAGCTACTGAGTCCAGATAGCCATCATCTTGTTCAATAGGGTGAAGCTTAATTCATTTTTGCATTGATTATTTGAATCTTCTCATGCTAGTGTCTATCTGGACTCAATAATGCGATAACGTTTGAATACATCAATGAGATGATTAAGATAACCAACACAGAAATAAATGAACTATCTCAGTTTGAATGTGTACGTTTGTTTAGTTCATCTATCAGTTCTATTCATATTCATATAAAATCATTAATTTCTAAATGATTAATTCATATTATTTTGTTTCGTTTATTTTCTTCAGGTATTCAATAGCTAACTATATAATAATAATAATCATAAGTTGGAAATATATAATCCTTTTTAACAACAAAATATCTTTTATTGGAGCTTCCTATCTATTCTACTCACTTTTCTTTCTTACAATCACCATTTATCAATTAATAAACAGTAATGATGACTAAACTAAATTTCATTCAAGTTTTATGATCTTCCATTTTTCAATGGTATATGTATTCAATGTGTTCAATTCGATATTGTTTTACTGCATTTATTTATGTTGTTTTAATCGTTTATTATATTTCTTCTATTGTATTGTTTTGTATATTATATGATTACTATTTTGTTATTTTATCAAATGTTATTATTCACTTTATGTTTGCATTTATGTTGTGTAAGTGTGTGTGTGTTTTGTTTGTTTGTTTGTTTTCTTGTTTCATCGATTTATTTTTCATTCTGTTGTTAGTATTATGTAACCATTTGGTTTGAATGAATGGGAAACACTTGTCAATCATATACTACTTACTTATTTATTTTTAATCAGTAATCATTTTCATATTTTTTCAATAATATGAGTTTGATTTTATTTCGTTTTGTTTGTGAATATTGTCTTATTATTTCTGTGTTTCTTTTTTTAATCTTTTTTCTTTCAATTTAGTTCATTTCTTAGTCTTTAATTGTAAGTGACGTGTTTATTTCCCTGTGAATGTATGAATATATTCAGTTATATTTCGGTTCATCAGTTAAATATTCTATTTGAATCGTAATGTAACTAACGATCGTCTCTGACTTACTTAATATTAAAATTCAGTTCACCACAATGGTATAACATCTTATAAGATGGATGCTATGGAATTTACTGACAAAATCACTACCAAATACTTGAGAAAAAGATATTCAATGCTACTCAGTTATCTATTAGTACAATATCTATTTTCTTATGATTTGAACTGAAATATAGCGGTAATAGTCTTTCTGTTTATAATAGTGATTAATTTCATAGGTAAACAGAATAGTGTGTGTATTTCACTTGTTGATAAGTATTAGCTGTGGTAATATTCAAACCCACACTACATATTCCATCATATATTGCAACCTAGAAACATTTAGTTAGTACAGCTTAAGTTGGGTGATAATAAACACACTACCGAATAGTGATATAACATTTATGTCATAAAACACTAAACTAATCAAAATAAAGTGAATATTCCGAATATACTTTATTACGAATGACTCTCTAATACATTAAAGTTTATCAAAATATTAAATTGAGAATGTAGACTCATGATTAGTTCATAACTTCAACCTCTTTTGTTAAGTGGATGTCTAAATGGTGTTCAAAATGAAGGGTATTTCTCTAAATGAGAATATTTTGTCATATAGGTCATTTCATGTATGCAAAGGATCCTACTAATGTTATGAGTTTGTTGCATATTAGCTGTTTAAGTCTTTTAGTGGTTGCCTTATCACATGAATCATGGCGTATTCTGAATTTCTAACTTTCCCACAAAGAGCTGGACTTTTACGAGAAAATTATTAAGGTTTTATCCTTAAAATCTAAAGGCGTATCACTTTTTCTCCCGTCACATTTTACTGCTAATCTTTATGTTCATTCGTTTTGATTCAACGAATTCGATAAATATTGCTAATAATCTGCAACAGAGATTGAATAAAACACTAAGCAAAGTGTATGGCAACTTTGTAACATTATGGCCTGATCAATCGAATCCGTTTAACATAAAGACTACGACATGATATCGATTTTCACTCAGTGATTTATTAATATGTTTAAAACTCCAAAGATTGTGAAATGTCACTGAGCCATAGCCAAATCATCCGGCAGTTGGATGACTGGATGTTGAACAATTCGTCATTCCATGTCAATGTCGAGGACAACCAACACGCATCAGTTAATCTCACGACTCGGACTAACCAATGTGATGGTGGTCGGGCTTTCGCTTGTACCTACTCTAACTAATATATTTCTGTAATAATATCTTTTGTGTTATATGGTCCTCAAAGCAGCTCTAGTACCTTGATACGACGAAGGGGTAATCCACGTTAGGTGCTGACCATGAGATATGACTTCGAAGTTGGTTGTTGGATACACTATTCCTGTGTAACTCGATTAGGATCTCAATCATCCGACATAGATCATCTTCGCTGGTCATCCACAATACAAAGCTTTAAGGTCTCTGTTGAAGTAAGAAGCATAACGGCAATATTTTTCACTGTATTATATTGGATAAATTGTGTTATCACAAGTACTTGTCACTAAATATAGCTGCCGAGACGTTTTTGACAACCAGTAGATCGAAAGTGAAATGGCATGCGAATCAGTGCTAAGGCGTTTCAAAATATTAGCTTAATGAGCTCTTATCAGTTCCTTAGTTGTATTACTCTGGCCTCAATGATGCGCTGTTCTCTCATCATAGCACGTAATACAACAGTAAGGATTATTTGGATAACACTTGTAAAGTATTTACGTTTTCGAACAGCTTTACAATGTCTGAAAGTGGATGGGAGTCACATTGTCTCACTAAACTACTTTATTGAATCTTATATTCCTTTGAGCTTTAGAATGCCTCAAGGATTTTATTTTTCATATAAATTCATTTATTGTTCTATAGACTATACTACAGATAGAAAAGGACCCGAATATCACTTCAGAATCTCTTGAAGTAATGAATTACTGCCTTCTTAGACTTCGAAATAAATACAGGTGTCAGTAATTTCTATATTTCTGATTAACTAAATCGTGAATTGTAGAAGGTGTAGTATGTGCTCTCTGTTTAGATTTTTGGCTAATCTGTCATAACAAGGAACCGGCTGAGATATATATATCCAAAAATAAGTTGTTCACCTGATATTCAGTGTATGATTCCAGTATAGTCAATCTTGACGTAGTTCGGTATCTAGAAATACATCCTGGCTAATATCTAGGATCTCGATGTATTTCAGTTGTTCATACATATATCACCCTAATCTTGTTCCGGAATAAATGAAATATACTACTCAATCAAAAACCATGTTTAGGTAAAGTTTGTATGTCTTTTGAGGATAGCGTTTATGATAGTCGAGATCAGTGTCTGCAACTCCAGGTGTAGTGTCTGGAGTAACAGTGAGGCACCTGAGAATCCTTAGATAAAATTTAGGTTTTACTTCTGCAGTACAACGCCTCGTTTAAATACATATTTTTGATGCATTTCTTATATGACTTCGCATCTAACTGTTCATCGAGTAATACTTAGTGCTGAAACATAACTCAGAATCGTGGATTTTTATGCTAAATGCAGACTCTATTAAAATGACGTAAGAGATTCTCTCTTATACATCTTAATGTTAATATAAGTGGTAAGTTTGATTGGAATGTCAAGACATATCAACTGTTTACAAAATCAAACATGTTGAGATTCGTTCTAGCAAGAAGCACCGTCGCGTGAAAACGAAAAACTTAAGATGCGTTTTACACCTTAATACGAATGTTAAGACCTAATGTTATTGAAAAGAGACCAAGGTTTCAAAAAAACGTATTCTTCCTAACAGAAAGTATGATCAGCACTTTTTTCGCAGCACTGGCTACTTATCATATATTACCAATGAATTACCGGTGAATTATTTTCATCTCGTCTTTGGTGTTGTAGCGGTAAATAAATCCCCAAAATAAATAGCACTGTAAGTTTTCGACATTGGATGCTGACCATATGTTTTAGTGGACTCATCTAGCTGAAGGCGCTCGGTCAGGCATCCGCACCAGATCACGTGTAGTAACGCCGTGCTCAACATCAACCACAATCGCTAGCCAGATTAGATCAGAGAATCCCGGTATATTGGTCATCGCCAAATATACTCTTCCGATCTCCTCGACTCTGTCTTTTGATTTCTCTTGGTGGGAACGAAATATCTTAGAAGGTGTTACTGGTAGAAGCGTTGTCAAACACTGAATACCTGTGACATCATCATTGGTGAGACCGTCGTGATCTGGTACACCTTATTGCAACTGTGAGTCTGTTCCTTTTTGGGATTTTTATATATCATTGCCTTATTTTTTATTTTTTTTAAACATTGTGATTTTTTTTCGTGTTTTTCTTGGATATATATATATATTTTCCCCTCGTTCATTATCGTACTTCATATTTCATCATGACTGAACAGACACCTAAAGTACTCAAGCTTAAGACCTTGTCCCCACCTTCGTTTCAACTGATGCCTTTCTGGCCCGACAACATCGAAGCCTGGTTTTGCTACGCAGAAGCCGACTTTTCCGAGCACGGCGTGATCGACACACGTGCACAATTCCTCGCAGTAGTCAAGGCACTGCCGCGGGAATTCAACAGGTACGTAACACCTAGTATGTTTACTAGTGATGTTTCCGATCCTTACGAAATCTTAAAACGCTCGATTCTTAAACGAGGAGACCTAACCGATCGACAAAGGTTAGATCAACTCTTCAACAATATCGACCTGCAACACGGTTCTGCGACGGACATGTTGCAACGGATGAGAGAGGTTATAGGCCCAAGAACTTTCGACGAAGGTCTATTCAAACAACTCTTCTTGTCAAAACTTCCCCAACAGGTGCAAGCAGTTCTGGTCTCGTTCCAGAACAACGCCTTAGACGAACTAGCTGTATCTGCCGACCGCATTCTAGAAATTACGAAACCTTCTACTACCGAGGTATTTTCAGTCAAAGAAAAGCCTCACACGACTCAGAATGACATAACCGACTTATGTCACACACTCACGCGTTATCTTAGTCTTCGTACCGACCGTAAGAGATCGCGCACACCACGTAGAAGCATTTCTCGTAAGCGATCTGTCTCTAGACCACGAGAGACAGATAACCCCGACTGGTGCTGGTATCATAACCAGTATGGAAAGTTTTCCAGAAATTGCAGAAAACCCTGCAATTTTCCCAACACGAAACCGACTGATTCGGGAAACTTCCAAGCCGGCACGCGTTAACGGCAACCGTAGCCGGCGAACAAAGCCGTCTGTTATTCGTCACAGATGTGACAACGAGAGTTCGCTACCTCGTCG